GACTGAACCATGGGCCAGACTGAACCATGGGCCGGACTGAACCATGGGCCGGACTAGAACCATGGGGCAGACTAGAACCATGAGCCAGACTAGAACCATGGGCCAGATTGAACCATGGGCCAGACTAGAACCATGGGCCAGACTAGAACCATGAACCAGACTGAACCATGGGCCGGACTGAACCATGGGCCGGACTAGAAGCTGCAGCTCAAGGTGCTGCCTGCCACTGGGCCCTGTCTTGTCCAAGGACCCTTGGACTGTGGAGGGGTTCGGCATCGACCCGCCAACCGAGCAATCAGAGGACAACCGCTCTGCCACCTGAGCCACAGCTTTAATTAACCTGCTTTTTTCTTTGTCAGACAAATTTCATAGTTTGACGACAACAACAGTAAAATATATGAACATAAAATATGTAGTGAAGTATGAAGCCAGTGGTGGCACTTGAAAGAGTCCAACTTCTGCATCTTGTTTTTGTTGCAGCTCTGCCCACAGCTTTTGTCCTTCCTGTGGTCCATCCTCTGTGGTCCAGCTCAGGTTTACTCAGTAGTAACTGAATGTGCCTTTGGAGGACAGAAAGTGCAGTTTGGAGCGTTGAGCAGCCCAACAGACGCTGATCTGAATGAACTTCCCTGTTATCGATGCCTATTTGATCTTCTGTAGTCATAGTGAGGCCAACGCAGAGACGATGCATTAAAAAACATTCATCAAGGACAACCAGCTGTACTTATGTCAGAGTCAGCTGCATCTCAGCAGAAGGAGAAGCCAGAGAGTCCTCACTGAATTCTTGATCCATAAACGGGACTGACTCTGTCTTCTGCTGGCTCCAGTCCTGTCTGCACTGTGTTTGTATGAGTGAGGTAGTGTTGGGTTTTTATGGTGTAGTGTCATGGTTACACACTGCTCAGACCGCTTCCAGCTTGTGCAGTGTGGTGCTAAACGGCGCCACCTTCAGGAGGGAGCAGGGAGACGTGGAGCTAAACGGCGCCACCTTCAGGAGGGAGACGTGGGGCTCTCATCTTCCAATGAGTCATGACATCTGCACTTGGCTGTAAACACTGAATTTGTTGTCGTGTTCTCACAGCTCTTGAGAGCCTCCACAGCATTAGCATGTGAATGTTTCATTTACATGTGGAGCTTGTAGAGCTCTCTCTTTAGTCTGTTTTCCACTCGGCAATTGTGAGCTTTCTCTCATTAATTCAATGTAATTCAGTACATATCCATAAATGACATTATGGTGAATGCAGAATCAACAAAGGCTTATTTTATCGGTGGTACTGAAACGTTTCATCTGCAGTTGTGTAAAATATAGCTGACTGAGAATGACAGTTGTTTAAAAACCGTATTTTAATATGACTCTGACACACGTACACGCTGTGGTGATACTCGGATAGATCTAAACCTTTAAGCAGTTTCTCACTGTGTAGAGGTCTTAGAGTCCAGGCTCCTGGATCCTTCAGTCCGTATTTAGTCCAAGAAGACATGGACTACATGAAACATGGACTGAAATGCTGAACACAACAGCACAGTGTAAAACAAACATACATCTTTTCTTCTGGCTCTTGGACAGCACGAGTCAGTGAGTGATGAAGTTTGGTTTGCATCTTTCTCTATGAAGTGAGTCCTGAGGACTTGTCTTAAGAGTTCAGCAACAGTTCTTGTCTCCAAACAGCTTTTTACTTTGAGTTCAGGTGCAATCGACTGGATCACTGCTTCTACAGTCTCACCTTCATCGCAGCCTTTCTGCAGTCCACGTTCAGTCTGTCTTCCAAGGCTGCTGAAACTCAGTTTATCCTTCTGTCCCACTTCACCAGCTTGGCCAGTAATCCTGAAACCTTTCCTGTTCATGGGATGCAGACTCACTCGGCCTCTGATGTGTGATGAGTTTCTCTCTGAGCCTGTTCCTCTGCTTGGTCTCTGTGGTGGCAGCTGGTTGGGGTGTAGAACCTTCTCCATAGATGATGAATGCTCCAGGACCGTCTCTGGCTGCCCTCCTGTCTATTCCAGTTGTGAATATAACCGTCCGACATTCCTAAATCCTCCACCCCTGTGATGTTTTTCATTCTCCAGGTCGGTCAGGGTGAGCCTCTCATTAACCGACATGACGCTTTATCTCCTCACTGGGCTGACGCTAGCTGGTGTTGTTTGGTCCCGTCTTAAATAGAACGTTGTCTGTCGTGCTTTATTCTGCTAATACAGTCATGGACAAGCGTTTACACACACTTTTAAAGACCTTGTACATCATGGCAGTTTCCAGTGACTCATATTACTCAGAATGTTCTGTGATGAACCACTGAAACTGGTTTTGTCATAAAAGCAACCAGGCATTTTGGTTCTTTTATAGATTCATTATAGGTCTGTTGGAAATATGACCAAATGTGCAAAAATGTTCATGCAGCCACTTGAATGATCCGTTTTGCTGATGTCAGAAGCTGGGTAAATCCATTTTCTTCGTGGCCTGGCCTCTGAACTTCTCATGAGTGAATATAACTGAGTGGAGCTGGTGACCCCACACTGGCTCAGTGAGCAGAGTTCAATACGGCCCAGCTGATCTGGATGGAAGCGTCTACAGAGCTGAGTTCAGATCTAAAGAATAAATCACTGACTTGAGCAAGTAAAGAAAGACACTTGAAGTCATTTTAAAGCAGCTACAGATCCAAAAGTCATGTGTTTGTAAGTGGACAGTGCATGGTCCAGTTGTGCCACGATCAGGAAGAAAAAACAAACCATCACCTCCTAAATGTCTGCACATAGAACTGGTGGTGTCCCAGCATGCATCATGACATGCAGCCCCTGGACATCATCCCCAAACATCACCAGGTTTGATTTGCCGTTGGAGTGAAATGTGCCCCGTACATGTTCAAATCTGCCCTCATTAGCAAGTCTGGGCTGAACACAATCCTCACGGACACACGGTGTCAGTTCAGCAGAAAACCCAACTCATCTCCAGACAGGACCTGTTGCCAGTGATCTACAGTCCGGGTTTGGTGCTGCCCGGCCCACTGGAGGCACTCCACTGGTGTCTGGCTGCCAGACGTAGCTTCCTGATTGGTCTTCTGGCTTTCAGACCCCTTTCCACCAATCTCCTGTTGACGGTTTCATGACTAACTTGGATATTTGCATCCTGTTGCCATTCGTGCTGCCTCAGAGAGACGGCAGCACTTCTATAAATCTCTAATTCACCTGGAGACATAAACGCTGTTATGAGCTCGGTGTACACATTGAAGTCAGTGCTGAAGCTTGTGCTTTACAGCAAAGCCCCACGTCTACAGACTGTAACCAACATGTAGTGAAGTAACTCGTGTGTTTGTCCTCTACAGTCCCGTCTGGACGAGTCGGACCAGATGGTGTTGGGCCTGCAACACTTTGGCTGTGTGCTCAGGACCATGGAGCTGCAGCTGTCTGAAGACCAGGCTGCAGTGTACAGCGCCCTCTCTGACAAGGACAGGTATCGTCCACACTGGTCTTTGAAGCTCCTTATGGAAGTTCCTCATTTGGTGTTTAAGTTCAGTGCAATTAGCTGAGTGAGAACAGTCACAAGTTGTATTTGTGTAGCACCAGTTCACAACATCTAAAGGCCAGTCATACAGGAAGGTGAGTACATTTGGCAGCAGTGGGAAGAAAAAAAAAACTCCACTTTAGCAGGAAATCCCCAACTCCTGAACCATCTGCTGACCAGCTGGGACTAAAGGGGAGAGAGCTAAAGGGGACATAGAAGGGCAGAACATCCAGCTTTACATGTCCTGCTATTAAAGCTGTAACGGTCACACGGGGTTTACAGGAACCCAGGTGCCGTCACTACTGAGGATGAGGAGACAGCGACTGTGAAGAAACTGTTTACAAAGTGAAGTGAAAAGCAAAGAGCAAATACCAAGAGTGCAGGATCACAAGAACTAGATCCAAACAGCCCAGGACAGAGCACTGAAGCCACAGGCCAGGTGAGCAGGGAAACAGAAAGCCAAGGTGTGACCAACACTACATACACAAAACTACAAATGGGCCGCAGAGGAGACCAGGAAGTAAACGAGACAGAGAGCAGACAGAGCTAACCACAGCTAAAACTGTCAGGAACATACTAAGGAGAATACACAAACTGAGCAAACCCAAACACCACAGGCTGAAGAGAAAGCAAACTTACCTGCAGACTGAGGCTGGGAGGGGCCAGCAGAAGTCCATGTGGCTGTCTGGTGGTGGGCAGGTGGACCAGGTGGCTGGTCTGGGTCCAGAGGTTACCTACAGGAAGTCAGGCAGTGGTTGATCCAAAGTCATGGTAGAACAAGGCAGGGAACCAGTCAGGGGGTGCAGCAGTCAGAGGCAACCATCCAGCTGAGAGGGAAGTCTAAGCTGGGCTGGCAGGTGAATAATCTGGACCAGGTGACCACAGGTGGGGTCTCGACTTCTTAGTGGCTGCTCAGAAAAACACACAGCGAGGAGGAGGAGGAGGAGGAGGAGGAGAGACCAGTCAGGGTGTGATGGTGGATAAATGTGAAACATGGACAGTTTGACCAAGAGAAATAATATTGCTGTTTAAAATGGAAATGTCTGGGTGAGAGCACACTGCTGCCAAGGAGGACAGGAGCAGGACCGGATCCAAAGATTTATTACACAAAATTAAGATAAAGATATGAACGCCCACAAACTAGAAGAATTACGGTAAAAGTCCAGTAAAACCAGTGGGCTAAAATGTTAGGATGCTCTAAAACGTTTCACATCTTTGAGCTTTTAGTTTGAAAGTGTAGTCCAGGATCAGTCAGCTGAGCAGAGAGAGGAGCAGACTCAGGATCAGCTCCTCAGACCATCACAGCTCAACAACTAGAAGTCGCTCTGAAGAACCTCCTCCACCGTATGAGGCAGTCCTGGTCTGAGAGCAGGTCAGAGAGCTTCCATATGATGGGAATGGATTAGTTTGGTTCTGAGGTCATGTATGAAGGAAGTCCTGCATCACAGACACTCACTGGGTGACGAGGACAACATCTCTACATCTTTAACGTGTTCATGTAGAGCTGCACTTCATTCATAACATGAGCTTTCTGCTGTCCAGTCTGACAGAGCAGCAGGTTTAAAGACGGTGCTTCATTCATCTCAATGGGGATTTTTATTGATGAATTTTGTTTTGAGATTTAATTTGAGGACTTTTCTCACAGCTGTAGAACAAGTTAGGCACTGAAACAAGCCCGAGGAGCCTCGATAGGTTGCTGTCAGTGCCTCTGCTTCGGCACACTTAACAAACTATGCTGAAGAAAAGAAGGAGGTCTTTGGGAGGGAGATGCACAGGAACATGTAGCTTCAGAGCCACAGACAGCTGCAGGCTGAATAAAACACAGACGACAGGACAGACGAGACACAGAGGAGGTGACCAGAAGGTTTTCTCTTGACTGGTCTTTGTTCTGCATCACAAATTAAAATATAAGATGACTTATCACCATGTCGTTTACATTTTTATAAGTGTATATATAAAGCTGAATAATATTGTGTGTGTGTGTGTGTGTGTGTGTGCGTGCGTGCGTGCGTGCGTGTGCGCGCGCGTGCATGTGTGTGTGCGCGTGCGTGCATGTGTGTGTGCGTGCGTGTGCGTGCGCGCGTGCATGTGTGTGTGTGTGCGTGCGTGCGTGTGTGTGTATGTGTGTGTGTGTGTGTGTGCAGGGCGGAGCTTCAGGACATTCAGGAGCTGAGATGTGCAGTGAGGCAGCAGGCTGGAGAGCTGGAGCTGCGGTTAAACGAACTGGACCATCAGTATGATGACAGTCTGAATACGGTAACACTCTCAGCCTGGACTCTGTTCTGGTCTGAGACTCCAGTGAGTCCCCCTCACAGCTGCAACGAGGACTCCACAGTTAGAAAACATAAAACTTATGGACCTGGAGTTTGATCCTTAGAGAGCTGGACGGATGCTGGAGGACATAAACGGGCTCAGACCACTACAGGGCAGCTCTGTTTCTAATGTAGTGATGAGCTATTGTTAGCCTCTGCCTCATGGGTGTGTTGTATGAAACACCAAAGGTCTGCACAGCCACCACAAACATCAGCACTGAATGCTGACAATAATTCTATATTTTTTCAAATAAACTGGCCACTACATGTGTGTCAGCACATGAGCCCAGACAGCAGGGCTCAGGGATTAGGTACCGACAGAGTCAGCAAGCCTGGTTCACTGCTCAGTCAGCTTCACTTTCATGTGCATTCTATCTATCAATCTATCCATCCATCTATCCATCCATCCATCCATCCATCCATCCATCCATCCATCCATCCATCCATCCATCTATCTATCTATCCATCCATCCATCCATCTATCTATCCATCCATCCATCTATCTATCTATCTATCTATCTATCTATCCATCCATCCATCTATCTATCTATCTATCCATCTATCTATCCATCCATCCATGTTTATATATAGCTACATATCTATATGTGTGTGTGTCACTTGTCATGTGTTTCTGATGCTTTGTGTTTGAACAGATCATGCACAGACTCTTGGACGAGCAGTCTGTGCTCTGCTCTGAGCTCAGAGTGTGTCTACCTGGACCAGCGCCTCTACCTGGACCAGCGCCTCCACCTGGACCAGCGTCCCCGTCCCTGAGTCCAGCCCCCAGCAGGACGGTGGCCACTCAGTGCCGCCTCCTTCCCTGGATCCCGACCCAAAGCGGTCACGTCTCTGCCAGGAACATGGACTCCAGCACACTGGCACCTCCTGGATCAGAACACATGTGTGAGGGCCACGGTGGTTCTGCCACTAAGACAGACAAGCTCAACATCGTGGGCTTCCTCCAGAGAGTCAGAAAAGCTTGTATTCATTAGTGACTACAGTCCTGGTGTTTGTGCTGACACGGTGGATGAAGCATGGCCGTCATTTCCTGTTGAGATCAACACGTGTGACCATAACCATGAACATGCTAACAGTCAGCTGCAGGTGTGAGCTACACTAGACCTTTACTGTTGGAGGTCAAACACACTCCTGTAACATCAGATGAAATCAAAGAGGCAGACATTCTGCCTCTACTAAGCCTCTGATGTTGTCAGGAAGCTGTTCATTGCTGAGGTTTTAACGAGCGCCTCGTCCTGTGCACTGCGTCACTCTGCTGCCTGGTCCACAGCCCAGCACAGCCTGGAGCTGGGCTGTGATGCTACAAACCAAGTACTGGTGACTAGACGGGGTGGCGAGGGGCTGCAGACGGCTGTGGTGCTTATTTAGAGACTCCTCAGGTGTCAGCAGTGTTTCACACAACAGCACAGGTGTGGCCTCAGTGACACAGTGAAGGAACTCCGTGGATCCTTCAGAACAAAATGAAGTGAACTAGAAGTTTCTGAGGAAACTCTGAATGTGCCGCTGCAGCTTCTGCTGGTGAATACGTCCTGTTACGATGATACACAAGTTGTAATTTACACAAGTAGATTTTATTTTGAAAAGCCAGCCTGTTTCCTGATCAGTGCCTTTAACTTGTTGGAGGTTCCACACTGAGGTGTGTTCTGGTGTCAGAGAGCCTGAGAGTCACCGACGGTCTGCAGTGAGAAGAGCAGAAGATCAGACTTTTATCAAGGCACAGCATCATTTGCACATTTCTCTGTCTCCTATATATTCCTGTAAATCTGTAAATTCTTCTATATTATGTTTTATTTTACTGAATATCCTAATATTCTGTGTTGTCGTTCTGCTTTGTTGAATATTCACGCTGCTGTAACAGCTGAGCTTCCCTTCTGGGATTAATAAAGTCAGTTGGTGAGAAAGAGAAAGACATGGACTGTGCTGTAATGTTATAAAGAAATAAAGGGAAAATCTCTCATGTCTTGAATACTTTTAGAAGACCTCAAGACGATTTATCAATAATTAAAAGCTTCCCTATAAGTTCACATGATGAGACCAGGAACTCCAGATCTGTGTCCACACTGGGCCTCCTTTGATAAAAACACTTGCTTTGATCATAACTCCAGTAAAGCTCCGAACAGTGAACCGTTCATGTGGTTTCTATGTTCATCTTCTCAGTGAGTCTCATTACTGTCCAGAAACAGGACATCGTGCTGCAACGAAGGTCCAGAACAATCGCTGCAGCAGTAAAGCTCTGGTTCATTAGAACACGTCTATTCTAATGAGGAGCACGCCGCCTCTCAAGACTCAAAAGGCTTTGATTCCACCCAGCATCACAAGTGTGTGTAGAAACAAGGAGGACATGAATCATGCAGACTGTATGTAGATTCAGTGTCGGTGGTGTCGGCTACACCCTATGGCAGTCACAGCTTTACTGGATTCACCTCGTTAAGGTTTCTGATTGAGAACAACGGAGGAGAAGGGATCCGGTACGCTGTTGATAAGGACTTCATGTTCAGGAGCAGAAACAGCAGCAGTTTATCAAAGCATTCAGGCGTTTGTGTAAAAAGTCCCATAAATCTGTTGAGTGCTAAAACAGATAGAAACGAGTTTTATTCTACGTAGAGTCCATCCATCATCTCTACACCTTCATCCTCACCAGGGGGGCGGAGCCTATCCCAGCTGACTCAGGGTGAAGGCAGGTTCACCTGGACAGGTAACCAGTCTATCACAGGGCTACACTTAGAGACAGACAACCAAGCACACTCACATTCACACCTACGGACAATTTACAATCACCAATTAACCTCAGCATGTTTCTGGACTGTGGGAGGAAGCCGGAGAACCCGGAGAGAACCCACGCTGCACGGGGAGAACATGCAAACAGGGATCTTGTAGCTGTGACGGTGGTAACTGGCTAGCGACCCTCTGAGTCGTGTCTGAATGTGAATCAGTGCCTCTTTGTTTTCTTTCTGGCTGCACTCAGAGGGTCAGTCTGTTGATCAGAGGTCCAGATCTACAGCAGCCCTTCTCTAGCTCGTGTGCGAGTAGGTTTTTATCTTTTCTCTGACGTTGGGGGGTGGGGTTATGTAGGAGGGATGCTCCTCCTGCAGACTTCATAGCCAGGTCGCTCTGCATCAGTGTGTCTGTCACTGCTGAAGCTGGAGGTAAGAGACGTCTTCATTCATTACGGCTGCTTGTTTGTGTCTTCATTGTGTTCTTAATCCTCTCAGCTCAGTTCCTCTGTGTGTTCTGGCTCTCCCTACATCAATCTGGACTACATGTGTTGCTTTCCTTTTTCTCTCATGCCACACTGGCTGTTGCATTAGTCTGTCTGAAAAATCACAGCAACACAACTCCTGCATCCACCAACCGGACAGCAATGAAATATATCTGATAAAATCTGGATACAGAAGGTGAAGCAGACACGGGCTGAGTTCAGACAACAGACATGAATGTAGTGATTTGATTTATTCTAAATAAGAGGACTTGTGTTTAAGGCAGCTTTGAAGTGTTGTGTCCTTCCTTACGGTCCTCAGGTCCACTGATGAATAATGCATTGTGGATGTGTGTCATATGATCTGCACAGAAGCCCAGCGGGCCTCAGAGATGACGAGCGGCTGTAGGAGGTCCACTACGGAGCCTGAACATCGACTGGTGACACCAGAGCTCACCCGCTGTAAGAACAGAGCAAAAAAACACTTCACATAATGTAAATCCTAATAACAGGTTTAACTCGGTGTACGTTTAGTTTGATTGATGCATAACCGTTAATTAGTCCCGACACCACAGTTCATCTTTAGTTCCTAATATATGTTGTGGACACAAATCAGAATGCAGCTGGACAGGCAGCTAACCCTCCACAACAGCACCTCTCAGCGCTCCTGTGTGCACTCGTTTTATCACACCAGCTTTAAACAAGATGAACGGACCGGTCCGGTACACACTGGGCCGGGTGGAGGGGGCAGCGCCTCCTGCTGGAGGACATGAAGCGTGAGCTCTCAGCAGGTCAGAGCAGACTCAGAGCGAACAGTGATAAAGAATTTTACAAGGAACAAATGTTTACAGGAAGTAGGAAACTGTTTTAGAAGTCAACAGGAAATGCTGGACAACAGCCACGACTCGTGACTCGGTAGGGAGGAGCCCACAGGAACACATGGAAGTGGACAGTTACTGGACTGGAGGAGAAACAAATCCTAAACTAAGAATACAAATACACAACCTGGAGAGGCAAGCACAAACCCAGACCAGGTACTAAACCCAGTCAGGCCGGGTAAATACAGAACTGACCAGAATTACTCAACAGGTATCAAAGAAAACGACATGAACCTACAAGATAAACTATTAACCTGCTGGGAACAGAGAACGTAGCTGAGAGCCAGGTGGAGATGGATGAGGGAGGAGGTGGACGGAGCAGGGGCATGTGGACCAGACGTACCAGGTGCAGCAGGGAGGTGGAGATCCTTGGCAGGTTGATCCAGGACACGGAGGACAGCCAAGGTGAGCGGAGTGGAGGTTTCCAACAGGCCGAGGCTGAGGGGATCCAGGGTCAGCTGACGGAGCACAGTGATGGTCTGGTGTCATGGAGCGGTCTGAGGAAGGCTCTTATGGAGGCAGGAGACCATGTGCAGCTGAACCACGCCCCACCGCAGGTGTTCTTGCTCAGGTAATGATCTGATGACTGCACCTGGCCCGATGTCCAACACCAGCCAGCTCACATCCACCTGAGGAGAGCGAGGCAGAGGGAGCTACTGCCACCACCCAGAGCTGGAGGTGGACGGCATGACACACGAGAGATTATTCATTTAAAAAAAGTTCAGATTCTTTCTCCCGTTTTCAGTGAAAAAAGAACAGATTTGTCAAGGAATAGATCAGAGATGTTACCTCCCAGTGGATCAGCTTGTGATGTGATGAGTAAACTTCTGGTTTCAACCAGTCTCCTCCAGTAAGACTCTTCTATGGAGCCATGTCTGGTGGAGGAAGCTGAAGGTGTGATGGTTTGTCTGGCTGTCTGACAGGTCAGGAGACGCTGGAGATGGACAGCAAGTCAGAGATGAAGAATGATGAAGAGGAGGAGCATGCTCTCTGTGCAGACGATCAGATGGAAAACCAGCTACAGAAACCTCGCAGGAAGGACACACCTGTCCTCATCTGTCCTCCTCATATACCAGGTACACACACACACACACACACACACACACACACACACACACACTCCAGGCAGTGTGTTTGGAGCTGTAGAAACCGTCTGTTGCCTGGGACTGTGTGCTCATCATTTACCTTTAAAACAGCTCACACAGGTTTGTACACGACTGATCAAAGGTTTCAGAGCATCCAAACAGCTTCACCATGTAAAATGATTTGTGATGTGACATGAAGACACTGAAGCTTCAGTCAGGTTTAGTCAGACCTTCATGTGTTTATTTTAACCAATTCTAGCTGATAGTACTGGAACAGGACTAAAATGTTCTTGTGTTTTTAGTTTGTTGTCTGAGAGGAGGACTCTGTTCAGAGATGGACTCCAGTATCTCATGTGAACGTCCTCCGTGATCTTTCTCCGGTTAAATCCTGATCGGTTTAAATGCTGGGAATGGGTTTGGTCTGTATCCTGAAGTTGTTCAGTCTCAGCTGTTTCAGATTCAGAGAACATCAGCCTGCCAAAGCTGGTCTGTAGACCTGCAGGAGTGACCAGGCTGTGACCAAGAGCTTCTCCAGACATGTTTTAAGACGTGCAATGATCTCGTTAGCAAGTCAGACATAAAGCCAAACGTTACTGACAGTTTATATAACGTGTACCTGAACTCTAATCAGAGCAGTTTTGGTGTTAGAGCAGTAGATTAACATTCGTGTTGTATGAGCTGAAGAGTCCTGTGGTGGAGCCGAGTCATGCACTTTGTTCAGCAATAATTCACAACTAGTCCCCTGAAGGTGCTCAACGTGGCAGGTGGAGCCCTCGGCGTTGTACAATCTACGCCTCACCATGTTACAGTGAAAAACCCAACAAACCCAAACACTACCTCTGAGCAGCTCTTTGGCTACAGCGAGAAGAAGCAGAAAGAAACCTGCAGCAGAACCCGGCTCAGGAGGGCTCGGCCCGCTTGGCTCGTGGCTGACACTGTGAACGCTGAAGAAGCAGCTCTAGACAGTAAAACCTGGAGGTCTGTGAGACGGCTGCTTGTTCTGAGTGGCTGCATTAGAAGCAGCTAGCAGTGGAAGCACATTATCCATCATGGAGAAAATGGATGGACAGCAGTGGAAGCACAGCGTTATGAAGCTGAACTAGATGACTGCTGGTTCCTCAGCTGGAAGGCAGCAGCTCAGTAACAGTCCCACATACCTGCAGAGCTGGAGGCTGTGTGGTGGTGGCGGGGCTGGATGAACGCAGAAGCAAACGTCCTCTGAGGAGGTTAAGTTGGACCAGTAAGAAGCTGAAAGCACAGTTTCCTTCATCTTAACCTGACAGCTTGTCTTCCCTCTGTGCAGGCGCCAGACTGCTGAGGGCTCAGGAGCAGATCGTTCACTTAGAGGACGACGAGAAACATGAGAAGGAATGAACATTTACTTGCTTTTATTTGGTTTTGTCAATGTATGTTTTATGTTCTCAGTAAAATAAATGTTGCTTGGACCAAGTGTTTAATCTTCTAAATGTCTCTGCTGCTCTGTTTGTGCTTCTTTGCCTGCAGTAGAACAAAACACAGGAGATATGGTCTGATGGTAGGAAACCATCCCTGTAGTTCAAGGTCTAAACATACATCTGTATCGGCACAGCTGGACCTGCTGAAGACATAGATAACAATCATCAAGTCAGAAATAATTCTCTCTCTCATTATTCTGGTGTTTAGCGAATAGAAATAATGTTGGTGACCCTGACTGAGCTGAAACAGGAAGCGTGTAGTCTGATGTCATGTCTTCTCCTACAGTGGATGCAAACGTCACCAGAACATGTATTTAAACCAAATCAAAACCTTTTCTGTATTTATTTTTTCAGCTCATTAATTCATAGTCAGACATTCACTCTCACATCAGAGCTCGGCTCATCTGATCGTGTCTTTGCTGCTGTCAGGACTCTCCTGATTCGTAATAATCAGCTGTTTGTACAATACGACCGCTGGTCCAGCCTCCACGGGAGAACAGCAGAGCAGTGGGCAGCACCATGGAACACACAACAACTTATTAATATTATACTTCTTAAACTTATTTGAAAGTTATTGACAAAAAACTGATAATTTTATGCAGAACGAGGATGTTAAAGCAGGGATCTGGGCTGGACACAACCAGGGGGCACATGGGACAACCACAGTAACCTGTACAAGACTGGGACCAATGAATACAGGCTGCAAAGTGCAAGAATAAACACATGACCAGGTGGTGGCATCTGGCCGTGTAACATCACACCAGTGTCACAGTCAAGACTATCAGGTCACTTCCGGCAGCGCAGGGAGATCCGCTGCAGCCTCCTGGCTCTGGCCCGGGCATCAATGGGCCGGATCTCCGTCAGCTTGGACCTGACAAGCTGGTAGGACCTGGCACAGTAGCTGGGCCTCTTGCAGTACTGAATCTGTGGGCAGTCCGGTCTCGGGTCTGAAGAAACAAAACACAGTAAGTTGGCGTAGAATCAGATCCAGCTCAGGGTCCATGTGTGCATCGTAGAGCGGTCTGATTGTCATAGAGACAGATTACATTTTGACTGTTCAGCTGACATCAGTGGAACCTCATCCTACTGTTTATCATGTCTATCTGTCCATCATCTATACACCGCTTCATCCAGAGGAGGGCTAGAGGGGCTGGCGTCCATCCCAACCAGCAGACAGACTGTCAGTCCATCACAGAGCTACCATGCTATGGACTTCCTTCAGTCTTTGCTGATGGAGTTGCATATTGCTCCTGATAAAGTGCTTTACAAGATGAAGGACTGAATGTCTGTAACTGAGGTGGTGGTCAGAGCAACTAGAATATCATGTTAGAATATACACACAGCAATGTGCCGGATATCTGAACGCTGACTTATAATCACAGGATATCCATCAGATAAATCTGGTGAGTCATAAAGTAAAGCAGCATCTAAATCCAGCACTACAACTAGTCAGGGTTGAACCAGTCTGACCCACTGCTGCTGCTTCCACCAGTGGTCCATAGTTCCAGCAGTGAAGCTGCAGACCCACCAGCTTTCCTGTCTCCTTCCTCCCTGTCAGGTTGCCGTTTGTCCTGCTGCCTCCTGGCCTTCACCTCCTCTTGACCCTCCATGTCTGCCTTCGTGTCCTCCTGCCTGGTGTCGGCCGTGTCAGCAGCTTTCCTCGACTGTGGTTCCTCTTTAGCCATGCTGCCTTCCTGTCCATCCTCCCCCGCCTCCTCCTTCTTCTTCAGGTCTACCAAAACATGGACAGACAACCATTTGCAATTTAAAATGCCAGTGAACATTCCCTGTCAACCCGCTGTCATTAAAGCAGCAGCATTTAATGATGCAGAACCATGAGGCTGGAGCAGCTGGAGGAAACCACGCATGCTCCTCCCAGAAAGGCCCAAAACCAGCCCCAAGGTTTAGACTCTAGACCCTTCTTGTTGTAAGTCTGTCTTTACAAACCAGCAGCCTGTGATGGCAGCTACCTCGGGCTCCCTGGGCCTTCCACGTCTCTCTGTTGCGACATATCTCCTGGTTCCATGTAGCCTTGAAGCTTTTGAAGTCCACGGTGGTCAGAGAGCAGCTGCCCTCTGAGCCGGTGCTCTTCACGCTGGAATGCTTCCCGTCACTGCCTCCAGTGCTGTTGGAGCCACAGACAGATATACGTACACAGGGATTCAGACATGCACATGTGTAGCAGCTGTGAACAGCTGGAGCCATGTGGGCATCAGTAAACGTCAGCTGTTATTGAATGTCAATAGAATGGAAAAGGAATGAATACAGGTGACCAGTACAATAACAGAAAGCTGTTGGGAGTGAGTCAGTGAGGAGGTCGTTCTGGTTGGAGCTAACAACAGGGACACACTCTGCTACCAGACCACTGGAGGATACAGAGCTCATGAGCTTCAGTCTGTCAGACTAGTTCAGCTCAACAAACTGACAGCATACTGATCTTTATGGATCTCTACAACACAGGTCGTCCATCAGACGAGCTCCAGCCTTTTCTGAGTTACGTCTACAACCTCCAGCTGAAACCAGGAGTTTGCATCCACTGTATAAAAAGACTCATAACCTGTTCTTGTCACTTGTGGGAATCCTAACTGTGTGTCTTCTTGAACGGTGGATGTAAACTTCTGGTTTCAGCTGTACGTCTGTCAGCTCCTTTTTAATATACCTCTGAAATGGAAAATGTATCAGTGAGCAGCTCTTATCTCTCTGTAGGATGATTAATATGAGACACATGGTAAACATGACCACGAGAGGTAATGACAGCTGGTTTCTACAGAGCCAGACGTGCTCCTCATCCTCCTGTTGTGGCTCCACTCTGACCTCTAGTGTTGGTCTGACACATGGCTGAACATGTGACCAGCAGACGCCACATGAAGGAGGTGCCAGCTCCTCTACCAGTTCTTCTGACAGGCTGCAGCTACATCTAACACTATGAACTACATGATGTAATGATGAAGGGTTGAGCCTGCTCTGTATAATGTGAGGAACATGCCAGTTGTACCAGAAGGGCCCTGGCCCTGGCCCTGGCCCTGGCTGATCCACTGGCCCTGGCCCTGGCCCTGGCCCTGGCCCAGACTGATCCACTGGCCCTGACTGATCCACTGGCCCAGACTGATCCACTGGCCCTGGCCCTGGCCCTGGCCCTGGCCCTGGCCCTGGCTGATCCACTGGCCCAGACTGATCCACTGGTCCTGGTCTCTAGAGGTCAGGTTATAATTCTAAAACCTCTGTGAAGCTCCCAGTGCTACTGTGAACAACTGTCTTTGTTTGGAGACACATGAGGATCCTGCTTCTGCCTGAACCTGCAGGAAGTTCATAAATTCGAAGGAGATGGTCCTCAGCAGACTTCAGCTCCTTGTAATGTCTAATGGGGGAAATGGGATGACATGAATCCTTTGTGAGTGTCATTCATCTGTATGCGGTTAGTGTCTGATTTTATTGCCTTAAAGATGCATTATTGTGCACATGTTGTAGCCTCGTAGATTAAAAGCTGTAGAGTCAGAGAACAACGCTGATTTATGCACACAAACTGAGTCAGAAATGCTCTGTGTGATGCCTTTCCCAAGTTACTCCACAGAACTCGAGGTACAAGTGTTGGTGCATGTACAGTCCAGACTGGTGCTGAAAGTGACCCAGAAATGTTCGCAGGTCCAACTGAAAAGGTGACGTTAATGTGAGCAGACATGTCAGATTAATGGAGTTCATGTCTGACAGGATCTCTACACGTGGCTTTTATTCTTATTATTACTTAGTATTATTAATTAGTTGATGATTTGTGCACGTATTAGCACATCTTAGCAAACCTGCACAGTTTCACTATCACACGCTGGTAACTCGTATCGCTGCACAACGTTAGAGTCAGTGGGGTCACAGAGGACATCTGGAGGTCACCTGGAGTGTCTGAAGCCGGCCGTTCCTGAACAAGATGCCTCCTCAATAAGTGGTGTCACGATCTTCTCAATCATTTCTGTCAACACGGTGAATGTTGGCTCCACGATGAAGTCGATGAATCCTGCAGGAAACAACCACCACTCAGGATTATTCCTGCTCCTGTTAACACAAAGTGAATGTATTCCAGCAGAACAGGTCCATCAAAAGGCCTCTCTCGTCTGTCCTGTGAACAGAACCTGTGATTTTGTCGTTCCATTGGATGGATGTGAGTTCGTGTGTTAACAGGCTACAACATGCGTTCTGCTGCCTCTCAGTAGTTTCATTAATTAACATGATATTCGTTTATTGAATTTAAGTTAAAACACAAAGAGGGAAAAAGGTGAAGTTTGAGTTTTTTTCTGTGAACGTTGCAGTCAGAGGCGTACTCCTGTATCTTACCTATCTGGGACTGGGCCACCATGGTGGACTTACGGTCACAGAGAGGAGAGAACGGCAGACCCAGCTCTGCCTCTTTGTCGCCCTGAAAACACATCGTCATGAGCACAGTCATCCTGTTTGTGGTAATCATTAAAACAACACCAAGCTGCCATGTTGGGCTTATGATTCGTCAGCCAGTACAGCCTGAAGCAGGTGTTGACCCTCACCTGTCTGAAGAACTCCTCCAGCAGGGACGTGGTCCAGCGGTGGTGGAGGTCCCAGCACTTGGCCGGGTGGCTGATGTCAGCGGTGTGCAGCAGCAGGGACAGGGCCTTCGCTTTGTCAATCCTGCCAATACAGTCCAGTCGGTCAGTGCTGAGCTCCACCTGCTGCTGTCCAGGCGCTACAGACATACTGTGCATGCTGTGCCACATCTCCCTCTGCTTAGTCTGACGTCAACTAAACGTGTCGTGTCCAGCTACAGATGAATCGCCCTCTGGCATTAATAAAGTTGTCTGAACTGAACTGAAGATGTGATCTACAGATGTTCTCCCCGATCTGACAGCTGTGCTCATTCATGTCTTTACATCTGCTACTCACGACTCAGGCTGCTGCAGAAGGCTTTTCATGGCTTTGATCTGCTGGAAGTGGCAGGACATGTCCGTGGCCAACACCATCTCCACCACGAGAGTCCGCAGCTCCCTGCCAGACAGAACCAGAGTGGATCAGAGTGGATCAGAGTGGATCAGAGTGGATCAGAGAGAACCAGAGTGGA